GAATGTGAATAAAAGACTCTCCAGGCAACATAAAGCTGTTTCCAGAACTGCAGTTTTCTAACCTTTCTGACCATTATACAGCAATGTGAGGTGATGCTTTGAAACAGTAACTGTGAGATTACAAATGGTCTAAGCATGTACCAGCCCTATTCAGTCTGTGAGGAAGACCATTTTCATAAAATCATAGGATAGTTAGGATTGGAAAGGACCTTAAGAACATCCAGTTCCAAACCCCCTGCCATGGGCAGGAACACCTCACACTAGACCATGTTGCCCAAGGCTCTGTCCAACCTGGCCTTAAACGCTGCCAGGGATGGAGCATTTATCGCTTCTCTGGACAATCTGCTTCAGTGCCTCACCACCCTCACAGTAAAGAACTTCCTCATTATATCTAATCTGAACTTCCCCTGTTTAAGTTTAAGCCCATTACCCCTTGTCCTATCACTACAGTCCCTAATGAAGAGTCCCTCCCCATCATCCCTATAAGGCCCCCTTCAGATACTGGAAGGCTGCTATGAGGTCTCCACGCAGCCTTCTCTTCTCCAGGCTGAACAGCCCCAACTTTCTTAGCCTGTAAACCCTAATAACTGGTCACCTTCAAACAAATGCAAGTCTCAGTAAACTTTCAATGTGAAAACTTTGTGTCAGCTACAGGTAGTTTCTACAGATACAGTTTCTAGCGAAAAATGACCTTCTAACCAGGGACGTGGGATGACATTGGGCCACTTTTGACACCTACTGAATTAGACTTTCTCACTTATAAACTGTGATTTTAATAAATGTCACTGTAGCTAGGGGTAAAAAGAAAAAAGAGATGGAAAAACAGGTAACATATACAAACCACCCCCAACAAGCAAAATCCTCTCTACAAGCAATAAAAACAATAACTTGGAGTCATCTTTCTCTTGGCAACTGGCTCTTCTCTTCCTGTCACCATACCCCACACCCCCTGCACTGACTCACAGGCATTAGGTTTTGTGGCTGGCTGCATACCCCAGCCTAGGTTGCTGGAAGGGCTGCTTCACAAAGCCACAGCAGAGCCTGAAGTCGTTGTACCCACCAGACATCCTGGCTGGCTGCCTTTTCTGCTAGCTAGTGTCCACTCACTCATGACAACATTTCTGCCAGTTGCTGCTTTCTTTTCACACTCCACATTTATTTCAGCTTCACCATAGGAGCCCAGCGCCATACACTCTGGCACAGATCTCTGGACTATAAACCAGACTTCCTTAATAGACCTTAATCTTTCCTTTGTTCCTTAGCTGTGAATTTCTTCTACCCAGCACTCCAAACTGCAGTTTGGGCAATCATTTAGTCTGGGCTTAGGTGTGTTGTCCTTTTCAAAGCCTAATCATAGCTTCCATAATTCCATCATTTTTACTACATAGCCACTTTTAAAGAGACACTGGACACTAGAACCCCACTGTTGTGGACCTGTGACTAATGTGACATACTTCCTTAGCTGAATGCAAACCTGTTAAGGCTCCTTGTGTTTCTGCTGTTGTTGCTGGTACAAGAATTTGCGATTTGCTATATACATTTTGCGTTTTTTTCTTCTTTTCTTGTATGCCAAAACATAGTTTTAGGTAAGGGGAGGAAGTCAGCAATATAGCTGAGGACAGGTATTTGTACTGACATCTACTCCCAGCAGTACGAATTTTTAATGTTCACTTGAACAAAGAACACAGTCCCAAAAAGTCTGAAATAGGAAGACTTCACTGTAAAGACTGCACAGAAGTAATGAAACCTGTTTTGTCCTGACTGTTGGACCTTTTCATTCAGCTTATCTTGCTCTCCACCAGATGCCAGAGGAGTGGCCAGCCCTTCGGGGTTTCCAGACCTATCCACATCGTGCACGAAGGGAGCATCTTCTGCTTTAGGCCTTGGGCTGTAAGACTTAACTGTTCTTATCCTTTCACATAGCGGCAAATTTAAGCACATTACAGCTCTCTTCCTTAACAGCTAAGATTGATAGGGAGTGTATTTGTGAATAAAACCACCTCAGGGAAGAATTTGTTCTTCCTCTACCAATATCCAAAATGGTTCTCAGAAAAGCAGCACAAAACAGATCATTTCCAATAAATGATACTTAAGTAATTCCAGTGAATGACCCCCAAAAAAGTACATACTGAGGAACAAGCACTTAGTTCGTTCCAGACTGGTACTAAAGTTAATTGTTTGGCCAGGGTCACTGCGCAAAACCTATTTAAGGTTAACTTGATTGCTCTTTTTCATTCAAATGAGCAAGAGCACCAAACCACTTTTGAGATCAGAATTGATGATGATACCAGCTACCCAGGGGTGACTGTTTAGTCAGCACAGCAAGGGGCTTCTCAAGTTATCAGACATTTTAATAAGGAAACATAGCAATAACTACTTGTTTGTGTTTATACTAAGACAGAAATGATATACCACACATTCCAGCAACTCCATTATCCTGCTTTGCTATATGTCTCACGCTATCTCAAGGGTTTGAGAGTTTATGTAGCAGTTCATCTGGGTTTGGCTGAACAGCTAATACAGAACTGGAATATATTATTAGCTATAGAACAAAGTTTTCCTAATGAATGTACTTGGTTGATGTTGTATATACAGTTCTTCTCCATAGACCACTATAACTGTAGTCCTGGGCCTATCCTGGGCTCAGTTCCCAAAACCCATAGAACTGGTACAACATTTTCAGCATATTTGCAGTAAAAAATAACAATCAAAAAGCAAACAATGGCAATTTCTCCAGAAACTCCCTGGTTTACCAGTTACTGCTCTTCTAAGCCAGCTGTAGATCACAGTTAATAAACACTTCCTGTAGTTTTCCATGAGCTGTCTCTGTCTCTAGACACTGATTTGTGTTACAGATTCTAAACATTGTTACTCCCTCTCCTAACACCATTACGTTGTTTTTCCATATTAACTACATCCCCTGCTGACACTGCTAACAAAAAGGGCATAAGACGTTCTTGTGTTCATATATCAAAACTACCACTGCTTCTGCATCCTTCTCAAAACACCCCAGTGTCTCAACGGTCACTCGGCCACTACACACAGGGTGCTCCTTAGCTGACAGACCTTGAACTCAAGCACATCTCACACTTCAAGATCACCTAGTTTCAGTCCCCCTGCCACGGGTAGGGACACCAAGTTGCTCAAAGACCTGGCTTTGAGCACTGCTAGGGTTGGGGCAGCCACAGCTTTAACTGTGTCATGCTGAGTGACCCTTGTTGCTGTTTTCTAGCTGTAAACCTCCACAGCAGAGAGGAGTGTAAACTCAACTCATCCAGCACTGAAGCCAGGTTTCTCCACCACACAACTTTTGGCCTTTAGGTGTGATGTGGGGGAAGGCTCGTGCCAGGCACCATCCCCGGCTGCCCTTTGCTACTGTGGCCTTTGCACTGTGCTGCTTTCGTGGTGGCTGGCATGCTACCTTATCGGCAGTTTACCGATGGGATTACACCCTTTCCTCCTTATGTCACTCGTCTGCAGTTGCTCCCAAACATCACCAGCTACTCAGCCTGCGCCTCGGCGTCAGCTGCCGCTCGGGACTTGGGTGACAGCCAGCAGGGCGGCACGGGCAGGGGAGCGGTGCTCAGATTACCAAGGGGGCTTCAGGTGCCACGCTCAGCATCTGCGCGTGTGTACGAGCCCACTTGCAGGCCCTCTGAGGAGGCCTGGGGCTAAGAGGGGACCGGCATCACACACCGCGGGCACTGACGTAAGAGGCGGCAGGGCGGGGCGGGGCTAACCCCCAGGGGGGCAGCGGTGTGGGCGGAGCCAACCGCTAAATCGGTGGAGAGGGGCGAGGCCAACCGGTGGTGTGTTCTCGGTGAAACCTCGCAGTTCGTGAGGGATCTTGTTAGGGGCGGGGGAGGGCTCTGAGTGAGGTCAGGACAGGGAGCTAAGCTCCGCAGGAGCGGCGCCTGTGCCAGCGGCTGGGCTGCCAGCCGGGTGTGAGGAGAGAGCCTGGTGCTTTAACCTCTGCCCCTTCGCGGTCCTAGTTACCACCACACATTTTTAAGTCGCCGTAAGCTAACCAGGGATCGGTGTTGAGGTATGAAGCACCCTAGCTTGCTTACCTGAAGGACTACAGGCACCCCTCCATTACCTGGAGCTGTACAGCAGATTTTCCTGCAGCTTGAGCAGTGCGGCCCTTGCTGACTGCTGTGTGACCTTTACTTTTGCTAAACGTTTTCGAAGCTGTTTCCTGAGGCACTTTATTTTTTTAAGCAATTGCGGTGGGCTATTGCATTCTGCATTTCTGCTTTAGAGATGACAAACCTTGCTGTGATTTGCCTGATACTCTGCCAGGGATGGGGTAGCCACAGCTTCTCTGGGCACCCTGTGCCAGTGCCTCACCACCCTCACAGGGAAGAGCTTCCTGATATCTAATCTAAACCTATCCTCTTTGAGCTTAAGGCCAATTCCCTTTGTCCTGTCACTAGGTACCCTTGTAAAAAGTCCCTCTCCCGATTTCTTGCAGGCCGCCTTTAGGTACTGCAAGCTGCTTTAAGGTTTCCCCCCGGAGCCTTCTCTTTTCCAGGCTGAACAACCCCAACTCTCTCATCTTGTCTTCACATGAGAAGTGCTCCAGCCCGCTGATGGTCTCTGTGGCCTCCTCTGGACTCACTGCAGCAGTTTCACTTGTTCTTTAAAACAAGCAGTTCCAGGCGGGGCGCGGGCAGCCGGGCGGCCTCTGCCCGGCCGTCACCACGCTGAGTCGGGCTGGGCGGCGGGCCGCACCGCTGGCTGGAACCGCTACCTCTCTCACGGCGGTCTGCCAGCCTTTGGCCCTTTCCATGGCGCTGGAAAGACACGCGGCCGCCAGCTGCCCTGCTCCCGAGCTCGTCTTTGGCTCGGCGGCAGGCAAGAGAAGCGCAGCTCTAACCAGACCGACACCCCCAACCTCGGGTTACCTGAGGGCACCCCCGGCCCCTCCTCCTCGCCCCCCGCCCCGTGACATCACACCAGGTGCTTGCCCGCCTCCTCCCCGGGGCAGCGGTCTCGGAAGCCCTCGGTGGGCGGAGGCGGGGCCGCGCATGCGCCTGGCACCGGAGGCGGCGGGGCCCGTTGGGAGCGTATGTGCACGCTCGCCGCTCGCGTGTGGTGGGCAGCGCGCGAGGGGTCGGGAGTGTGCCGGCCTCTGGACGGGCTCGCGCGCTGGCCGCCGCCATGCTCGCCATCATCGAGCGAGAGTTCCAGGAGATCGAAGCCACTAACGACTGGCAGGCGCGTTATCTGGTGAGCAAAGGGGGTCGCTCCGGCTCTGCCTCCAGCCGGCGAGCAGCAGTGAGGAGGGGGCCGCCGGTCGGCAGTGTCGTTGGCGGTACGCGCCGTCTCGGTGAGGAACGGAAGTTGCAGGGCCCCGGCTCGGTTTTCAGGTGCACGCAGCGGAGCTGCGGGCAGGCGCCGCGCATGCGCCGGCGAGCGGCCGTCACTTCTCTAGGCGGGGAGCGCTTGTAGGGCGCAGGCGTTGTCGGGTGCCGGAGCGCAGTGTGCCAGCACGGGCTCGGGGCCGAGGGCAGCGGCGGTTTAGGTGCCTCAGGTTTATCCGAGCGGGTTGGTCTGGGCCCGGTGAGGGTGCGTCCTCCGCAGTTTCCAGGCAGAGTGGAAAGTTACACCTGATGATATCCATCCGGCGGAGGCGCGCTAGCTGTCCTGGGTTCCCGGCTCTGCGTCTGAAACCGCTGCGCAGCGGTTCCTTAAGCACTCGCTTAGCGACGACAGCCGTCTGTACCGCTGTCTTCGCCTGTTTGGCGTCTGCGGCAGGCCTGCACGGTTATCTGTCAGGAAATAAGCACCCTTTTCTCTAGAAACAGGGAGATTACTGACTTGCAACAATAGTCTTTGGGTCAGTTCTATGAAATCGACTTCATATGTAAACTTGTAATAGAAGTTATTTGAACCAGTATGTATTTTCATGGAATTGTTTGGGTTGGAAGGGACTTTAAAGATCATCCAGTTCCAGCCCCTTGCCATGGGCAGGGACACCTCACTCTAGACCAGCTTGCTCAAATCCCTGTCCAACCTGGCCTTTTTGACATTTTACAGGGCTCTTTCACAAATGAGGGAAAAGAATCTAAACCGAAAATTCTCTTTGATAACTTGTAGTTAGTAAAAGTTGTGCGTTTCCTCTGTTAAATTAGCCGTGTGTTTGATTTATGTGTGCTTCAAATACATTATCTCTAGACAGGTATTACGAAACTGAACTGTGGTTTGAATTTAACAGGGAATAGCAGAAATAAACTGTGCTAAGTTAGTGAGATAGAAGTTTTAGGAAAGAATTCTGCAATTGTCATTTTTCATGAGGTAAAAAAGTACATGCACGTCACCTGTGGTATATCCAGACTTAGCAAGTCAGCTTTCCCGTGGCATTTTAATACTGTTTGTGCTCTTGGAGAATTAAACTGAAGAGCTCTTCTAAACTTGGAATACGTATATCCTAATTCTACTACACATAAACTGTAAAATATTTTTAAATAAAGTTTTTTTGTATTAGAATTTTATGTTTTTCTGATTTTGTAGATTTTGCAAACTCAGGATTTTTACTCAGAGTACTTAGCACATTTGTATTAGCGTAAAACTGGCAAATACAGATCAGAGAGAAAATAGCAAATGATATTTTTAAGTAGCATTTATTTAATTGCTTAGGAAGGTATTTTTCTGTGATAGTGATGTGTAAGAAACACGTGCTTGCCCTGAGACGTGTGAAGTTCTCTGAAAAAAAAAAGTCGGGTATTAGGTTTTTTTATTATACTTCTTGACAGTAGCTTTGCCCTTTGGTTCCATGAATTTGCCAGGACTTGTAAAACCACATGAACCTTGGAATATTTATGCTGACTTGAAAAGCTCCTCTGCAGTCTGAATTAATGACTGAATAAATAATACTGATTTTCACTTTCTTTGTAATGAAAGTTTTTCTTGTGTAATATGCCTTATGTTACATCTGGCATCTGGTTTGTTTTAATTTGAGCTGGCTGAATTGTGTTGTGAAAACTGATTTTAGACCTAGTCTAGCATTGCTCCTTCATCATGGGTCATGTTTAACTACAGCTATATGGATTGAACTCTCAAACCACCAAGAATCATCTTGTGGCTGTTAACAGCAGCCATAAAATAATAAATAGTTAATTTACTGTTGTGGGGACTTACGCTGCCAGTTGGTGTAAAGGAGCTAGCAGTACAGTGCTGTTAGTTCTGTCTGAGGCTCTTATTGCTGTGGGAGATAATGTGCAGTCTGAGGTAAGCTCTGAGCATAATAAATAGCCTGGTGCTTTTTCCCCTTTGATCCTGCTACATCAGTTGCTTACTAGATTGTGCCTATGTTGCTTTGGTGTTGTTAGCCAAATGTGGGGTCATCTAATGGCAACAGCATGGCCAAGAATGACACACGTGTTTTCTGAGTGAAAATAACACTAGGTGTAGTAAAGGTTGATTTAAAATGTTAATTATTAATAACCCTGATTAATTAGTAAGCTTGAAAGTCTTACAATAGGATGTAAGATCAGTAGAAACTGATCTTAATCAGCTGAATGGCTATAAGTAAGTTGCATTTCTTGTGTTTTAAAGGAAATTCGACATAAATCCAGTGACTACCCTCACAGAGTTGCAAAATACCCAGAAAACAAAAATCGGAACAGATACAGAGATGTTAGTCCATGTAAGTATCTTTTCTGTAATTATTACAGTAAACTTTGTAGACTTTTTGTTTATGTGGTCATTATAGGTTTTGTATATTTTTTATTTCTGTAGACATGGAACCTATGATAAATATGTTTTTTGTGACACATTAACAGAAGGGAGAAAAGTGTGCTGGTTAAACCATTACGCTGAATAGGGAATGAGATGTGATTGAAAATCATAGTTATTAGTATATGCGTCAGTGTTTGTGAGCTGCAAGGTAATGTTTTTAAGATATTCGTAAGGCAATATTAAATAATTTTCTTATCTGTAAAAAAAAAATCAACATGTGCTGAGCACAGAAATTGTTAATAAGCTTTGACTAAAAGTTTCTTTTTGGGCTAAGGGATTCTGTACATTTATAAGGCTGTGGGTAAATGCCACTCAATTTCTACTATTGCTTAAAAAATACTTGATATTTCGTTTTGTCTGTTCAGAAGAATATGTGCTTGAAGTTCTTAAGTTTTCTCAATCAAGTAGATTTGGTATGGAGTACTTTGTATTTTACTGACTGCTGTAAAATGACCTTTGTGACATAAGGATCTTGCATCTCAGGTGAATACAGCTTTTTTCTTTTTTCTTTTTTTTTTTTGCCATCTTCTTTGCTACTGAGGTGGTGTGGGCTTTCTTTCAACATTTCAGCATTTACTTTAGAACCTGGAATCCTAAATTGTTATAAAAGGACATGGAAGCAAAACATTACCGATACGTAGTTACAGTTGGAGAAAGCTATTGTAAATCATGTTCAAAAGGACTTCGAGGGGGCAACAGTACAGCCTTAATTTTTCTACAAAATATTGAAGTTGGAACAGGTAAATATTTGTGTGTTCTTTAGCACAAAGTTTCCCAGAGCACCAAAGGCTCATAAAAGCCTTCTTGTTACCAGATCAAGAATTTTTGATGGATTGCTGGTGTATTGGGGCTTTTCAGTTGAGAGCCTAATCTGAATACCTATTGTAAGATTGGGGAAGTGCTGAACTCCTTGTTTCCAGTTGAAAGTTGCGGTAAAACAGCATGTGCATAGCACTTCTCGAAATGCCACAGACAGGGTCTTGTGTTGAGTCACACTAGTCAGACGCAGTGCTGTGTGCTGCTCATCAGACTGCTGCCAGAAGGCAAACTTGCCTTGTAGATTCACACCAAAGGGATCTAGTCTGGCTTAATGCTGAATCTCAGTACTGCACTCACAGCCTTTTTGCTGTGTCTGCAGGGCATTCCCCAGTATAGTTTGTTTGAAAAGCTTACAGGTCTGAAGATGTCTCAAATTAGTCAAGGCTTAGTAAGTTATGCTTGTATGCTCAGTACAGGGAGATAGGGTTCTGCTGGGCCTTTGTTGGTCTATGCAGAGGTACTTGCATGTCCCAGGTTTGCTGTCCTGTTGCAGCACAGCATTAGCATCTTACCGGTGGTAAAGTAGATTATGTTGTAATGACTTTCTGTTTCATACCTAAATTGGGATGGGAGTTATAAGAAGAGAAATTGGATTTAAACCCATGAGACCCAAGTTCTATTCCTGGGTCCAATGTTCTATACAGCTTCTGTGGCAGAATCTGTATTCATGCATTTACTATTTCTCCCATCCATGGATTTAATTTCTTAGGCACTACTGCAAAGAGAATGGCAGCTGACCTTTAATGTGCTTGTGTTTTTGTTGTTTTGTTTTTTTGTGTTTTTTTTTAGAGTGTTTCTAAAATAAATAAAATGTTGTGTTATTTAAGTAGCAGTAAGAGGTGTGACTTGTATTCATCTCCTGTAGTTTTTTTGAGCTCAGAAGTCTCTTTAATCATGACATAGCATGCCTCCTACAATAGTGAAGAGCACCAAACAGCTCTGCCTGGGCCATGGCAAAGCCTGCTTCTGAAATGCTTGTTGAGCCAGGAGGAAATTAATTATGTGATTGTATTAATCCCTGGACCCTGTGCAAGAGCAGAGAGGCCCTTAGATAAAATCTAGCTTTGAAGTAGGAGTTGGGCTCAGGAAAGAGTCATTACATGTTGGTTGACATGGAGTGTAACATGATGACTGAACTAAGATGGTGAACTATGCAAAGCACATCTCTGTTTTTAGCATTTGTAAAAGAAAGAAGGTTTGAATTGGGCATCAAGGTAGTCTGCAGAGCTGGGTACTAGGAGCAAGGCTGTACAAGGAGGACAGAGCAAAACACTGTGTTCAAACTAATTCCCGTTGAATTTTACATCTGTGTATTGTCAAATATGACTCATAATTGTTTCTGTAACAATGGTGAGAGTTGGGAAGAAAAATACACCTGAGAGGGAATACATGATAAATAACATTGCAAGACAGCAGTAGTTCAGTTTAAGAGCAGCTGGGGTAAAAGCTGTGCAGTTTGGTCACTTGGTGAACACATCTAATTGTGGGTGGTACACAAGGAATTAGTGTTGCAGAAATGCAAGACAGCTCAGTCTTGAACAATCTTAACATCTTGGTCCTTCACTTTGTGAATTTCACTGCTCTCTAACAATGTTTAAAAGAAAAATGGGTGTTGATACCGATAATATTCTCTGAGAGTCAAAGGCCCTCAGAACTAGCAGTTAAGCTTTTAAAATCTAGCTACCTAAACATATTGCAAGATATAATTTAATGAAAAAGTTTTGTTTCTCCATAGCGGTGAAAAAATAGTTTGTATATCTAGATAACAGCCAAGCCAGTCTGAAATCTGAGGTGGTATGTCTGCAAGAGGAATTGCAGAGATTATTCTCTCCTATTGGTAGATGTCAATTATAAGTGCAAGGAAAGATGCACTGGGTTAATTTGCCCTATTTCAACCATAATACACAGGACAGGTATACTGACGCCAATTCGTGTCCGTTACATGCATTTCTAGAGAAAAGTTGATCTCTGTTGGCAGAGGAAGGCTCATCATCTTTGCCCACTGCAGTTGAGTTTCACATTGTCTTGAGTTGCATAAATATTTTTCTTAGTGTCCAGTTTTGTTGGTTAAAGACTTATGGTCTGTATAAGTTTGGTTGGGTAAAAGCCCTCAAGAGTTACTGCCTAGCCAAAAATAATAAGAATCTAGCAGTTTGCTATTAGTCTAGGGTAGGGAGCAGAATATTTTGGCTACGTAGTACTACTGAAGCAGGAAGTTAATCTAAAGTAGGTTTGGTTTGACAGCCAGTCATTTCCTGACAGATGAGCCCATTTCTCAGAAAACATTGTTAAGAGAGGAAAATAACTTGCAAGATTATTCTTCTCCAGTGATAACTTTAATGAAACTCTAAGATTTCTGCTACTACTTTCCTTCTAAATCTTATCCTTCGGTGGTATCAGAGGTGTCTGGTGTCTCAGATTGACTGTAAACGCCTTTAGAGGTCTGCTTACTGTGCTCTCAGATTTAAAGGCAAGAAGGAAATCCCCTTGGCAAAATAAGCAGGATTTATTATTTCTTTTACCTTTTCTGGAAGGCAGGTGGGGGGTTTACGCACCTACCTAGTTTTTATCCTTAGCTTTCCTTTGTCGTGTGGTATGTAGCCCAGTATGTTAGGTCATCTGGACATTTTCACCTCATAGATCACATGGCTGTTGGAGGATCTTCCTTTGGCCATTAGTAAACTTTGAGTTGAACCTTTCAACCATCCACTTACAGTTGTCACAGAGGATATGCCAGGGAGAGAGGAACATGAAGAGTATTGGTGCTTTACAGGGAACAGAGCTGGGAGTGGATGGGTTTTGCACATAGTGCTGATTGTCATTGCCAAAATGCTCCCTTTCTGTCCTGCATTTGTCCTGTTAATGTACTGAGAACAGAGAGTTGTTCTGTTCAGTATAAGCCTACTGCACTCTTCGTTGTTCATCTTAGAAGCTGACATTAATGATTTTTATGCTGTTATCTAATGATTCTCTAAAATATCTTGTTACCAGAAACATGGTATAAATAAACTCAACATGATACTTTTGGTGATACTTCTTTCTTCAGGGCTGGAGAAGAAATTTGTAGCACACACTGATGTAAACTTTACTGTATCTTAGGGGGTTTTCTACAGTCCTGCTTGAAAGTGTAAGGATCCTGTGCAGTATTTATGCATATGTTTCAGTTATGAGCGAGGTCATGCTCTGTCCCTGGCAGTGTTGCAGGGCTTTGAGCAACCTGGTGTAGTGGAAGGTGTCCCTGCCTGTGGTTTGGAACTAAATGAGCTTGTAAGATCCCTTCCAACCCAAAGCATGCTGAGATCGATATGATGGCATTCATTGCATACAACCAGTGGCAGGGTGGGGAAAAGTCATGTTGCCTTTCCTTTGCCTTAGGCTACCTCTGAAACTTGAGACTGTACATCTGGTGACAGAATATTGTAATTTGAATAATTTAGCAGCTCAGACTAGATTTAGATTTAGATCAGTGAAATGAAGGGGATTTGCTGGTAGGCAGGAAGGGGTCAGACTGGGTCATTGGGTTGGTTTATGGCTACATGTTTTATTTATGACTTTCTTTAATCCACTAAGTCACATTTCACTCTTCTTTGTTGTTAATAGCTTTGTATTTAGGGAGCCAGAGACATCTCTTGGAGAAAAGATAATTTTAAGTTATGCAGTGGTCTCAGTTCTAGAGACACGGTTGTTTTCAAACATTAACCTGTCATTAACCAACTGCAAGAACTGTATGATGTAAAATGCCATACATTTCATATCCCAGTTTAACTGGATATGTCATTTTAGCAGAGAGTGGGCAAATTGATATCTAATGTGAAGTCTTGGGCTTGTTTGAGACATGGGGAGTGTTGTCAATGATATCAGTGGGACAGGGTTTCATTTGAAGTGGGTGATAAGACTTTGCTTATTGAACAGGGTCATTCTGGGAGTAGTTTTCTTAGTGTAGAAGCCAGAATGAGAAGCATTTTTAGGGTTTCCATTTCCTTTTCAGGCTGCAGTTTGTTGAAATAGGGGAATTAGCACTTCAGAAAATGAGTATTGCCTGATAATATTTTAGTTGTTGTGGGCATGCAACATTTAAGATAAATCTTTAGGAGGGTTTAAAACAGGTTTATCATTCATATAAATCTGAAGTACTTTGTAACTGGAAGTGTTTTACATACGGGAAATATGTTACAGCTAACTTGCTGTGAAAAGTTGGCTTGCTTCGTCTAATTCAGAAGAGCAAGCCAAGGCTTGAATGAGGTTTCTAGGTCATTGTGTCCTTTAGGAACCCTTTCCCTTGAAAGAAGTCGGTATATTCTAGTGGCTGTCTTTGTCCTGTGGAGTGTATGCCAGCCTGTTTCAGTTGGGGCGAGAAGGGAGGCTGTCTGTGCTTAGAATTAGTTGTTAAAAGTGCGTTAAAAAAGCTTTTTAGTGAATTACAAAGAATGTTTACAAAGAATGCTTTGTAAACATGAAAAATAAATGGAATTTGTAACAAGAAAAATATGAGGCTGCAAATGAGTGTAAGGATTATAGCAGGAAGCTTCACAGTGGCCAGGCAGTTATCTCCTACTGGCAGCAGTACAGCAGCTGCTGCTGGGTGATGAAACTGTTAACAGCTCTTTGCTTATGTCATCTTTCCGAGAACAAGAGTACCGGTATGTGTGATTTACTATAACAAGATCTTAAGTTTTTCCTGTTGGCAAATGACATGTAATATTTACAAAGGACTTGATTTCTCTCCAGTAGAAACATTTCAGATAAAGTGATACATGAAAAGAAAAAGTAACACTTTCCTATCCAGACAAAATAATACAAGGAGGCTTTACTTTAAAATTCACATGTCTAACTTTTACTGTGTCTTGGCTTTGATAATATTTTTTTATCTCATACAGGGGTATCGTAAATTGGTTTAAGACTCCTGAAAGTCAAGATGGTGTTGCCTTACAGTTGGAATGCTAATGAAAACAGATTAAACCAGTAATTTTCTCATACTTTTGTATTAAAAATAGGTTTTAAGCGTATTTCTGTTCTCTGCACATTTGTGACTGCGTATAAAAACTAGCAGCTAAACGAGGTAGGATAGCAGCCCCAAATCTCAGCTCTTAAAATATATATGTAATAATCTACTGTTGACTTCTTTCCTTGAATCCAGCCAAGATCCTCTTTTGGCAGCTGCCAATAGCAGATAGATGAGGGAGAGCATAAAAGCAGATCAAGACATAGTAAGTGTACTTTTCCCGGATTTCCAAACATATGGAAAGTATTTATAAAGTCTTTTGAGCAGTTCATAGAACAAGAGTCTAATTCAGTAACTATTTTTTGATTCCCATCAGCTTTTTGCCTGACTGTGGTCATATTCATGGATTTCTCAGATAAGCCTTGTGCTGCATTGACTGGCTGTGATACAGGGACTCAGTCTGAGCTCAGCTGTCGTAGCTGCACTGAATGTGATACTTGGAAAAATGTGCTGGCGTTCTAACAGCAGCTGTGTTACCAGTCTGTAGCCCAAATGAGTTTTGTGAGTTAGACCAGGCAAATGTAGGTTAAAAACTGGCATTGCACTATAATTCATGCACAGCTCTGTCAGGTTCTTTATGGAATCTATTCCATCACTTTCTGAAATGTGTAGAAGTCTCTTAAATTCGAGTTGGCTATTTTTTTATTTACTCACAAGCAGTCTGTCTAGGCAGTTGAGCTTTGGGAGGTTTGCAGTCAGTCTCATTTCCTGGCATGCAGTTATGTACAAATTTTAAACTGAAAATGCAGTTTATTTAATACACTTCTAATAAATGGCTGAAGGATTACTTATTGTGAGCGAGTCTGATTAACTCAGTGGCTCCTAAAGGGTGATAAATCAGATACTAAAAGATTCTAGGAACAGCCACAGTGATTTTCTATTATGCAGTGTTTTAGTACAACACTCTGATAATCTTTCTCATATTAATTTTAGACTTTTAAATGGAGTCCTTTGTTTGCCTCTGCTATAAATAGGGGAATTTTCTGTCTTGCCTGTGTAATTGTGATGAGAGACTGAAACGGTGTAATTAGATTAGGCTTCATTTAAGTGAAACATTTGTTGAAAAGGTACATTTTGCATGTGTCCTTTCTGTAGTATCCTTAATTTGTCTAGTATTAAACAATAAATTACAGGGAAAATTAAATTGATCAAAGCTTGGTTTGAATTATTTCAAGTAGATTTATTTCGTTTTTTTAAGCCATGTGAGTTTAGTTCTATGATTCTACCTCAATCTATGAAACTTAAAAAAAATCTTGGAATTCTGAACTTAAAGGAAATCATGCAGTGGAGTGACCTGGCGTGATAGGACAGAGTGTGAGAGTGTGAGTTGTAGTGCTGTTGTGTTGAGGAAATGCAACTGTTGAAGGATTGCTGTGAGCATCTTTTGGCATGTATGGGAGGGTTGTTTTGGTTGGTTTTTCTTTTCCAGAAAACTTGATGTTACAAGTTTTCTGAGCAGCTTCTGTTAAAAGCTAACAGAAATTACTCTGATGGAAGGCTGAGGGAGCATGAGACAGGCAATTATTATAGTTACCTGAGAAATTAGTTTCATATATTTTTGTAGTTTACCATTCAGTTACTACTTCTGAGTTTACTTATAATTGCTTGTCAAACCTAAATCTGCCTGTTTGTTAGAGAGTATTCACCCAGATGGATGCATCATTAATTCTTTATTTTCTTTGAATTATAGATGATCATAGTCGTGTAAAACTGCAGAACGCCGAGAATGACTATATCAATGCCAGCCTAGTGGTCATAGAAGAAGCTCAGAGATACTATATTTTAACACAGGTAGGTAGTACAGAGGTTGAGAATCTGGGGGAGAGGGGTTGTACAGTTGTAATTTGTATTTGGATGATTCCTTGTCTCTGTGAATTACATGTGTTTCATATTAACTGCCTGTTTGAAGTAGTTGTGAACACATTATTTTGTATTTTAAGAAAAATATAAAGGGAATATTCCATTATGAATAATATACTGCATATAAAGCTTTTCACGTATTTCTTGCTCATTTTTTCTTCACTTCTTTTGGAAATAGGTTGCAACAATACTTTTACTCTTTATTTCATCTTGTACATTGTAAGCTTGTCTGCAGTAGCTTTTCTCCTAAGAGCACGAGAATATTAATGCTCAGGCTGAAACATCACTTCCTTGAGTTCTTGCAGGTTTTTTTGGGGTTGTTTTGTTTTTTAAGTACTGGGCTGGTCTGTTGGTTGCTTTCTTGCCTGTCATTTCTGACGTTCTATTAATAATTTGTTTAAACTTTTCAGAGGAAGGCCTTTTCCTGCTCCACACAATGAACTGTTTAACTGTATTCAAACACTGCTTACTTATACATTCTTACACCCGGTGTGTTTTTTTTATTTACTACACAGGGTCCACTGCCTAATACATGTTGTCATTTTTGGTTGATGATATGGCAGCAACAAACCAAAGCAGTTGTTATGCTGAACAGAATTGTTGAAAAAGAGTCGGTAAGTAATATTAGATCTAAAGTTGCAAAGTAATTTTAGTACAGTTAAACAGGGATTGTTACGCTAAAAGAGCAGTCGAACTTTCTCACCGGTGTACAACATAACATGTGTTTAATGTTACATTAAAGTAATGCTTTAAAGCTGAGACGCAAAATTCAGTCTGGCAAAGGAGCACCTAGTAAATATGAGTTCAGAAAGGTAAAAGTAACAACCTGAGAAAGGAGGATATACAGTTTGAAACAAGGTGGAGTAGAAGCAGTGTAAGATGCTCTAGAACAAAACAGAAGATGGGAGAACAATCTTGAATTAAGTATTTTTAGATTGTTTTTTCTAAATCTATTCGAGTTGTATATTTATCCTGTAGTGATCTTAACTGTTTATAGCTATGAATCCAAGCTGCTGCCCAGCAACTGTCAAACTGGTCTAGTTACTTAAAGCTGGTGGTATATGTGCAAATACACAAATCTTCCGTTATGATGTAGTTTTTCTACTAATGTGCCTAAACCCACTGGGGATTTCAGTTACAAGTGCATGTCACTTGATATTTATGGTTCTTCTTCAGAGTAGATTTGTTAGTAAAAAAGATTTTGAGTCTATTAAAATCTTGCTTATTTTCTCATGCAAAAATTACCCTACAGGAAGTTTGAGCGCAGGGCAAGAGGAGTAAAGGGCAAGGGACAGTCTTGCATTACTTTGTTAGTTCATGCTTTTGTTTCACAAGAATCTTCCGGTACTGAGCAAGCCTTGGGAAAACTGGATTGATGTGTTACATCAGTTACATAAATCAGCAGGTGTGCACATCAGAAATGGAAGGGGGACATGTTGAAATAGCTGAGTAAAGATCTGTTCTCTGTATAGAATGAAGGGGGAGGGGAGAGAAAAGGGTTAAGGTATATCTTAACACATTAACCCTGTGATGAAAGAAAGCACAAACAGATAAATCTGGAATGCATAATAGACATTGAAAGAGTTGTAGTAACTTCGCTGTGAATATTATGGATTTGGAGAATTCCTCAAATTGGGAGCAGGTACTCAAGTCTGCTGTATTGATTAATGTGGTCTGAATCTACTCATGCAAAGGCCGGTATTAGGATACTTAACCAGGCCTTTTCTTTTTCTTTTTTTTTTTTTTCCTCCTTCTGAAAAAACCTCACTTAGGTGAAGTGTGAACAGTACTGGCCAACAAAAGAAGAAGAAGTTATGACATTCAGTGAAACAGGTTTCCGTGTGAGGCTGGTATCTGAAGATGTCAAATCGTATTACACAGTACATCTACTGCAATTAGAAAACATCAACGTAAGCTTTTCTCAGTCTGCATAGCTTATGTTCCTGGGCTTAAGTATCTACTGAAAACCGTTTAGCGTATGGACAGTACAGATTTCATTGAGCTTTTACACTGAAAACTTTAATATACTTTGCTTCAGATAATGTTGAAGATGTACGTGTGGCATGTGAGTGAGCTAGACCTGAATTAATCTATACGTTAAAAGAGATAAGAGCTTCTGCAGTTTTACACTTATATTTTTCATTTGGCAGTACCTTAACTTGCTGAATTGTAATTGATAGTAGTGGTGATTCTAAGAGGAGCTGTAAGGAACACCCTACAAGGAGGTACCTAGGAGAAATTCTGATTTCTTTTGAATATCAGAAATCAGAGTCACTCAGTAATTGCTGTTTGGTTTTGGTTTGGGTTGGTTTTATTTTATTTTTTTTGTTTGTTTTTTAACGGAACTTTAGTTTTCCATATAATTCAGTCCAGGTATCTTAAGGTTTTTGTGGGAGGGGTGATTACCACCTGTAGATAGGTAACTTTATCTCCTCTTGCTTACCTCCCCTTTTGCTCCACAGGACCAACCATCCTTTTCTCTTAAAAATTAAGCACTTTGACAATTTAATCAAGCTAAGCTCAAAAAAATTGTTCCTGGCCTGAGCTTGGGTTGGAATTTGCTGCTTCTGTTTCAGAGCTGAAGACAGAATTGAAGAGCTTGTCTGTTTGTTCCAGCTATGTCTTGTAAGATATTCTCTCTCCCTATAAACCTTGCCTTATGTTAATTGAAAGTGCTACTATGGCAAGTTTTATTCGAGGTTGTCTTGTCAGTGGATTTGGGAAAGGAAAGCTTGAAGATGTTCCTTTGCATGTTGTTTTATACATTAATAAACACTGATATATTTGGTCAAAATGATGTGAATTTATAGTAACTATTAACGGTACTTTGAGATGTTTGTTAATTTGAAACCTCCCTCATAAGATCAACATGGTAAAACATGGCGAGTTGTTCCTTTTCTATTCAGTGTAAGAAGAGCTTTATGAAATTCTTTTGTGCTGATGCAGAGAAATTCTATGTAGTTGTTTGGTTTTTGACAGTGAAGGCAAAGAAAAGAGGAGTAGTGCTTGCAAGCCAGTGCTTGAGAAACAGTAACTTTCCTTTTTGGAAAGCTAAGGTAATTTTTCCAAAGTACCAAAGACTTCTTTGTGGAATGCTTCTTTCTGGCTGATGTTGGCCCCTCTAATCTTAAACTTCCTATTTTTGAAGGATGCCATTTTTATCCTGCGTGTATGTTTGGACATAATGTTAACTGGAAGATGCAGAAATCCCTTGAGGAACAGCACAACATGTGCTATAGTGGGCTTCAGAGCTGGAGCTATTGAGCAGTTAAATTTCTTGGTTTGCTTTGGAGTGGTAACATGGGCCCATCTGTGCTGTACAGAGGTTGTGTGTCATGTAAACCAGTTTCACAAACACTTAGCAAACTTACTGTACTGATTTTTACTTTAATGCCCTAGTGTTTCTGTAAGGCTCCATGAATATTAACTCCAAAAAATAGTTTTTATATGGAACAGTTACAAGAAGTAGAACATACTTGGTTACTCAAACAGAAAAACTACATAGTTTCTAGAACAACACTGTGGATGTTAAGTGCAGTCTTCTGTAAGAATTTGATAATTATACCATAAAATTTGTGGGAAATGAGTATTGACAGTATTGTGAAATGTGAGCTTAACTATGTTTATATAAGTTCTTCTGGAGGGGATGTTGGTGGAGGCAGGGCAGTAAGACATTTAGCCGCTTGATGCCTGGACCATAAGATGCGTCATGAACAAAATACACTCTGAATTCCAAGGATACTTAAATTTTAGTATTTCCTTGAAAACAGAGAGAACTACAATTGTCTTTACAAGACAACCGCCCTGAGCTAAAGTAAATTTGTGTTACTCCAACAAATCTCTGTAATACATACGTATTTTGCAGAGAATTATATGGTGAGTGAAGTGCTTGTTTAATGTTTGGCTGGTTTTGGTGGTGGTGGTTTTGTTTTCTTCTGTTAAAGGCCAATTAGAAGTAAAGGTGGGACTGGGGGGGTGGGGCAGTGTTGTTTAGGGTTAGATCAAAGCATTTGGCTGTTTGATTTGTTTATATCTGTTCTAGGCAAACAGTTGTTCTAAGCAAACAGCTGTTGAGACTAGTGTAGTCCAGTAAAGCTTTGGAGAGGAGATTTGGGTGGATTGGAGAGGAGAGGTGGGTTTTGGTATCTTTCTGGAAGTTTTGAAAATACTTCTAATGTGCTTTGTCCTACTGGTGATTATTTCATAATTTCCTTATTTTTTGCCTGACCCAGTCTGCATTTTAGAATACAGAAATTTGGGGCTGCCTTTCCGCTATGGTTCACACTGGGTATACTCCCAGTTTTGTTGGTGACAGTTCTCAGCTCTTCTGAAAGTTGACCACTGCTCTCTGCTGCAATTGCAAAGACTGACTGTGAAGGCTTCCACAAACCCTTGCCTCTGTTTGAAGATAGGGTAGAAGGAAAATACTGTGCTCATGTCAGAAGTTCATAATCATTTATATGTGAACCTATTGCACGTCTGTGATTTGAAGCAAAGTCTCCTGGGGTACTGGAGAGGTGACAGATATTTATGAGAGCCTTCTGTTAAATCTGTAAAGTAACCTGATTGTCTCAAAACTTAGCAACCCCATTCAATGTCACGGGAGAATTGTTAGATACTAACAGGTAACTTCTGGAAGACTCTACCTTGTGTTGAATGTGTATTTTTATATTACTCATTATTGCTGCTTTTAGCTTTTCTTGTCACAAATATAAGTACTTGTCTTTAGATTAGGAAAACTTTTGTTTTCAGTGCTTTCTGATGCAGCAACCCAGATAGCTAGGAGAAAGATACAATATGACACATAATGAATGCTTATAAGCAAAACCTCAGTTTCAGTGTAGCAGGGAATTCAGGGAAGGTATGGTATGGCAAATGAGTACTGGGAAACCAGGGATTAACTGGGTGAGGAAATTGAACAGTGAAAAGGAATTGAAATTGCCAAAGGAACCTTGATGTATCTCAGACTGGGTTCCTAGAAATAAGAATAAAGCAACTGAAAGAGAGATTTGCAAAGAAAATATTTACTGGAGGAGAAAGGACTAGAAGAAATGAATTAGATTTGATGTGACACTGGTGGTATGATACTTTAAGGACCATTAATAAACCCCAAATAGAATCTTGAGTCCTCTGCAAATAGCCAATACTTGGAAAAACCCATTAGCAGAACAGGTTCTCAGTTTTGCCAAAGGCCTCTGTGTGGTCATTGCTGTCAGACTGAGGTGACACAAGACTGCTCAGTGGCTCTCACTGTCTGGTCCTGTGGATGAACCAGGAAGAGATGGTCTAGCTCAAGAAGATAAGATTTACTTTGCTGCTAGTTTACAATGTCAAAAATGTTAAATGTTGTTTGTGGACGTAAGCAATCTAATGGCAAGCTATGTTCTGGGATCTGGTGGTCCCTTTGTATATGGATGTATATATGTATGTAATTCCTATAGTGTTTGGAAGAGATTTCTGAAACATGGGGTACGCTTTTAAACTTGTGGGTTGTCCTCATATCACTTTGTCAGACTGCAACAGGGATTAATTTTGGTCTTTATGATCACAGAAATAAGGCTGAGATGTAGGAGAGGTATTGGTGTCTAATAGGAAAGGAGAACCCAGGCTTACTTGAAAGTCAAGTGTTCTGCAGCTTCAATGGGTATAGCTATTACCACGTTGACTTAGAAGAATATGCACTAGTTTGTGAAAAAACTCAGGATGTTTGTGAGGATTATTTGGCCCAGTTATCATCCTTTCCATTTTTGTGTACGTATTTGAAAACCATGTTGCCAAGCATTAGGGTGAGCAAATAGAAGAGGTTGTGGTAAGAGTTAATTTAAGATTTTGAATTTCAGTGCTTATAGAATACTGTCCTTACAGCATGCCTTCTCATTTTGATATGATCAAATTAGTAGTTAATGCACTTAAGGCAAGATCATTAAATACCACTGTGTGCTTGTAGATGCATTTTATGCCCTCGTATGTTAGACCATTTCAGTAGTGCTTAAACTGTGAAATGAGGGATTTTATAAGGAGTATCTGAAATTTGACAGACCAGCATTTCACCTGTTTTACTTCACACTGAAGGCATCAACTAACTTTGAGTGTTTTGGTAGCATTTTATTCTACATTCATACTTTCAGGCGACTGAACAACCTAAAGTAATTCTAAGATTTGTGTACATTTTTGTTTTGAATGATTGGATAGTCAGTGTAAGAAGGTTCTTGTTTTGAGACAAGTTAATCTAATGGCATCTGCTCAAGTCCTCCTGTGGCTGTCTGCTTGTAACCTGGAGCATGGCTTGTGGTTTGATCATCCTCTGATGTTGCTGTTAGTGGGGATTGCCAGCAATCAGTGGAGAACTGTACAGTGTGGTGGTAACTTTATCAGTTGTAGCTGTGTTGGTTATTTACTGACAGCTTATCCCAGTAGTCCATGAAACTTTCACTAGAATGATTTGCCCCATTTTCTTGAAAAGTTGTTTGTTTAAATGGTGTCCCATGATTATTCAGTGATTTTTATTTTTGGTAGGTAGTCTTAGGGGATAAATCTTGGAAGAATCTAATAAGCTGTTCCCTGTTAGAACATAGGAAAAATTTTATATTATTCCTTGACTGCTGAAGTCCAGCTCTTTTTCTTTAAATGATTATCTAGGCTCCTGGTAACACTTTAAATAAAACTAGTTGTTCTTTAAATTTGAATTTCTGTCTGTTGACAGTTATGAATCCTTAGCAAGCCAAACCTTTTCTCGTTACAGCCCTGCATTACTTCATTTAAGTGATAGCTGTGGTGTGCAGCTCAGTGACGGGGGAGGCCTTTAAGAAAGGGTGGTACAGATGCTCACACAAAGACAGTATTTCAGCTGTACAGATGACTGCCAAGCACCACTTGAAAGAGCCATTCTGTTTAAGAGAGAAAATGTGGGAGGTTTGAAATATTTGAATGGAATTTGGCCATATGATTAGAAACTGCAGGTTCAAAGGCGATCAGCCAGTTCCGGGGCACTGACACGGGACTCCCTGAGAAAGATGAAGAGACTTGGTATTTTTAAACTGAGCTAAAGGAATGGGAAACTGGGGGATGGATAAAGCCTTCTTACAGTAGGGGGAGGAAGAAAAAAGTAATTCTGTGGGTTAAAGCCAGATGAGATGTACAACAGCACTTTTTAATCTCTCCTTTAGAAATACTTGGTTTTGGATTAGTGTATGAGCTGGGTGGCAGTTGGCCATGTGCTTGAAGCACTACTGTTTTGGGGTCTTTTTAAGAGGAGAATGCTAGTGCTTGTGACAGTATGGAATCTGGGAAAAATCTTTTCTATAGATAAGGGCATTTTTGCCTTGAGGTGTAAAGAAGTCTTTCATCTGGAATGCTATTTTAAGAATCCTGAGGGGGAGAGTATCAATTACAATTTCAAAGGATCATTTAGATTCACACGATTCACTAACTTTAATCTTTGATTTACCTAGTATGTGTGTTCAGCTGATCTCTCCAGTTTTCCTCTCAATTTTGTTTGCAAATTAATGTTTTCTTACAAATAGAAGAAATTGCTTAAGAGTGTTGCTTTCTTTAATTTTAAATTTTTTTGTAATTTCATAAAATCATAGAATAGTTTGGGTTGGAAGGGACCTTGAGATCATCCAGTTCCAACCGCCTGCCACAGGCAGGGGACACCTTCCACTAGAACAGGTTGGTCAAAGCCCTGTCTAACCTGGCCTTGAACACTGCCAGAGATGGGGCAGCCACAGTTTCTCTGAGCAACCTGTGCCAGTGCCTCACCATCCTCATGGTGAAGAGCTTGTTCCTTGTATCTAATTCAAATCTACCCTCTTTCAGCTTAAAGCCATTCCCCTTTGACCTATCTCTACATGCCCTTGTAAAAAGAAATCTCCAGATTTCTTGTAGGCCTTGTTTAGGAACTGAAAAGCTGCTCTAAGGTCTCTCTGGAGCCTTCTCTTTCCCAGGCTGAACAACCCCAGCTCTCTCAGCCTGTCTTCATGAAAGAGGTGCTCCAGCCCTTGGGTCATCTTTGTGGCCCTCCTCTGGACTTGTTCAAGCAGGTCCACATCCTTCATATGTTGTGGGCCCCAGAGATGGATGCAATACTGCAGGTGACACCTCGATGAGAGTGGACTAAGGGGAAGAATTACCTCCCTCGACCACACTCCATTTAATAGAGCCCAGGCTTTCTGGGCTGTGAGCACACGCTGCTGAGTCATATTGAGCTTCTTGTCAACCAACACCACGAAGTCCTTCTCCTCAGGGCTGCTGTCAATCCATGCTCCATCCAGTCTGTATCCACGCTTGGGTCTGCCCCAACCCAGGTGCAGAACCTTGTGCTTGGCCTTGTTGAACTTCATGAGGTTTGTGTTAGCCCCCCTCTGAAGCCTGTCAAGGTCCTTCTGGAATGGCGTCCCTTCTTTCCAGCATGCTGACCGCATCTCTCAGCTTGGTGTTATCAGCAGACTTGCTAAGGGCACCTCAATCCCACAGTCCATGGCACCAACAAGGATGTTAAAAAGCATTGATCCCAATACTGGTGCCTGAGGAACACCACTTGTCACTGACTTCCACTTGGGTATCAATCCAGATTCCTTATAAAAAATGTATCTCCTTTATGATTTTTAAACAAATGGGTAATTTCAGTTGATTAGTGAGTTAATTCACTAGTTGAAAAAAACAGTGCAGAATACCACTAGGAAGGTGTCAGTTGAAAACATGAACTGTTTTTAATGCTTTGCTACAAACAAGAAAAGGCAATCCCAGTGTATTTATACAATTTAGGCCTCAGTAGATCTTTTTCCTCTTTCAAATCTTACAGTTTACTTGCTTCCAAATATGATAAATCAGATTCTGTTGTCCTTTTTGAGCCCTTAGCCAAAAGACAAAATATTTTTGGAATAAAACTGTGCATTTGAGAGTGACTTCAGTCATGTAAATACCCACTGCTTTCTTTGAAAATATTGGCAGTCCTGCAGTATCAGGCATTAAAGGCAAAAGACAAAATGGAGGAGTATTTTTGTTACTGTGGTAACCACGGACTGGATTATTTTAGTTTCACAAAGGAGTTTCATAAGTTGAAGCAGCTTGAGCAGATGAAAACCAGCAGAATTTATTTGAATTTCATAGCTGTATTTTACTGTTGCTGAAAAAAGAAACATAGCTTTTCTGGAATACATTGGTATTTCAAATCTTCTTGTGTTCCAACTTTGTGGAGATTTATGTAGATTCCTATCTTATATGAAAATTAAGGTGAAATGGAAGGAAGGTAAAAATAACCTGTCTAAAATTTCTGAACTAAATCAGTGATCAAGTTGTCTAAAAAATCACTGTGGCAAGGGGTAGTATTAACAGCAGGTTGAAAGCGAGTTCCGTAAAAATATGATCCAAATTTGTCATCAAAGCCTTTCAGCTATATACTTACTCTCTTGCTGTCATTTCAGTGCTTGCAGTTAGTTGGTTGTGTTGGGAGAGGAGTTGCATGGTTCTAAACCTACTGTGGGGTTTTTGGAAGCCTTCTTTCTTACTTACAAAGTGTGAGTATGTCCAGCACAAGTCTTGCTAGACATCTGTTCTATGGGTTCTTACAGGCTTTTTCCAGGAAGCTTCCTGTTTCTCTCAGTAGTGTGGTTAGTGTAAAGGAGATGCTAATTCCTCTAGATATTAAACCTTGCTCTGAGTGAGAGTGGAGAGTGTTTACAGTGCTGACAGGTATTTTTTTCAGTCATGTTAATGCTAGCAGTCTCCTAACTGCTGCCAGCTGTTAAGTTGTGTTAATGGTAGAAACAGAAGAATATTTGGGAGCAAGTAATAAAGCAACTAAAATACAATACTGGAAATTTGAGAAGAACCAAAAAAATGTGTATTTGAGAAGAACCAAAAAGGGGACGGATGAAAACCTGCTTCAGGTTGTGCTGTTGGTTGTCATCCAAACTGAAGCAAGGCATTGGATTGTTTGTCTAAATGGGAGGTTTAAAATAGAAGACAGCTGTTGATCTACATTGGGGAAATGTGTGCTAACCAAGCAACATTAGAATACTTTCTAGTTGTATTGTTTATTTGTTTTCACTTCTAGACTGGCGAGTCCAGGATGATCTTTCATTTTCATTATACTACATGGCCAGACTTTGGAGTTCCTGAATCCCCAGCTTCATTCCTGAACTTCCTGTTTAAAGTCAGAGAATCTGGCTCACTAAGTCCGGAACATGGACCTGCAGTAATTCACTGCAGTGCAGGGATAGGACGTTCCGGCACATTTTCGTTAGTAGACACTTTTCTTGTTCTGGTAAGTATTTGGTCACTTTCTCTGTCGCCCTTTCCTTCTCCCCTGCATCCCTCCCCAGTATGGGCTTTTTGGTCAGGAGGTTTTGCTTTGTGCTAGTGAGAAGTATAGCGCAGGGTTAGATGAAATTTATTTAAATTATAAGATATTTGTCTTCTGGTTTGGTTAGGGCCTCTCAACTTTCTGAAATTTAAAACTTGATATTATGCTACTGATTTATTTGATTAATACATGATCATTGATTTCATAATAAGCTTTCATTAGATGGTTTGCCTATGAAAACAATTCATCATTTGACATGATGAAACCAAGAAATCATTTGAGATGTTAATTTTGTATATAACTAATAGAAACATAATACAAAGACTTTAATTTTTAGATTTAATTTTATCACTGCTTTTTGCAAGTGTTTTTTTTTATATGCCATCTCTGTTCGATAGTAATGACATTGTCAATATAACTTTCTTTACAGATGGAAAAAAAAGACTCACCTTCTGTAGATATTAAGAAGGTTTTACTGGATATGAGGAAATATCGAATGGGACTTATTCAGACTCCTGATCAACTAAGATTTTCATATATGGCTGTAATAGAAGGAGGAAAACTTATAAAGGGGGATTCAACTATACAGGTAAATGTTTAGCTCTGTATATTTAAGCATAAACAGATTAAGTGCTAACTAGTTAAATTCCTAACAGTATTTAAAAATGTAACTTCACGGGATTTAGGTAATTTGCCTTTTTCAGTAGATGACTAGAAGGTGTTAGAGGATCTTTGATCAGTGCCTTTTACTAGCTAAACTTTTGATCCTATGTAGTTGTCCCCTCTTAGATAAAATACAGCTTCTGTACAAATGTCTTGTAAAAAGATTAAATTGGTATCTTCAACATTGAAAAGCAGAAGTGTAATGCTGAGTATCACTTTGAAAAGATAGCAAGGATATTTTTAGGATTTCTTAATCTTTGCAATATGTTTTCATACCAGTAAAGTTGCCTGGTGTTACAGGGAACATTTACTAGTACAGTTGCTTTTTGCTGCTTTTTTTTTTTTTTTCATATCCTTTAAGATTTGTGTTATAGTAAGTAGAATCCAGTTCAATATCATGAGTTTGGAGCAATCAGATTACTAGATCCCACTATTTTATCAGTGTGGCTTGTAGATTTAATAGTAGCTACAGCTGGTTTTGAATGGGTGGGGCTGGGTGGTAGGACTGGGAGGAGAGGCTGTGAAACAGACTCAATTCTGCTTTTATGTGCTAGGGCTTCTTTATTTTGTTGGTTTATCTGCTTCATTCATGATTTTAAGAAATCCCATTTCCTCTTTTCTGTGGTTCTGGCTGTTGTCAAGAGTCTTTTTGACAAATGTTTCTTGACTTGCTACACAAAGAAATAATTTCACACAACTGCTAGTCAGCACCTAGGTAGTGTGCTGCTAGTCTGACGCCCGTGCTGTATGCCTAAAAGACTGCATGATTCATCCTAACACTAACAGCAGTTTAGCCTCTTTATTTTCTGGAAGCTGTTTCTGGTGGTAGGAGGGTATTTTCTCTAACAATGTTTTTCTGCTTTGTTTTTTAAAAAGCCGTGCTCCAAACTGAGCAGCTCTGGTTCCTGCACTTCCCCATTTAGATCACATGATTTCTTGTTTCTGGATACAAGGAGGCATTGTCAACTCAGAATACTGCTTGTCAGGTTCAAGTGTGTTACTTCTTCATACCAGGAAAATGCCTAAGGAGGCACACTTCTCATTTGTTCTTTGTTTTCTTTTTCTTGCTATGATTGTTCAGGTGATCTTTCTTAAACCAGTGTTTTCTGCAGTGCAGGCAGTTGCCTTGGTGTTCTTCTCTTTAGGCCTTAGGGTCATGTGCAGAAAATTAATTGGCAGTACTTAACAGGAGTATTTCTTCTTTCAAGGTCAGTTAGATCATTTTTCCCCACTGTATGGAGGGACAGTTGTACTGTTCAGAGAGTGAGAGGTGCTTACTTCTCTCTGCTAGTGATGGGGAGGGCATGAACTCATTGGAAGTTTCTGTAATAGACCATTACCTCAGTGTTCACCTCTGACATCTCCATGGATTTTGGAAGTCAGTAAATACGTAGACAAACACAATGTATACTTGAGCCTTTACTTGCTTACAGCTAATGAATGGCTGCAGCTGCAATACTCATACCAGGGAGGGGCTGAGGAGTCTCTTTCCCTCACTAAGTACCTAGAGAAATATTGGAAGGGATCTTTGTTGGAGAAGATGGATCTTCAGCTAGCAATTTAGTCTTTTTGGGTTTTCCTTGAGCTAGTGGTTCCTTTAATCTACTTCTCTGACTGTTCTGTTGGAGGGCATCTTGGGCAAAGAGGACCTTTGGTGTTAAGGGAATGTTTGAAATGTGTTCTTCTTGTCTGCAGAAACGGTGGAAGGAGCTCTCTAAGGAGGACCAAGAGCCAAGTTCTGAGCAGTCTCCTCCACACCCAACCAAAATAACCACAGAGAAGTACAATGGGAACAGCATAGGCCTGGAGAACAAAAACCAAATGGAGAAAACAAATTCTGACCTGTCCAATAAAGTTCAAGATATCACAGATGGAAACAGTGAAAGGTAGGCAAGGTGAAGAAACTATTTAGAAGGCAGCAGATACTCTCTTAAAAGGCTGAATTACTGTATGTTTCTCATATCATAAGAAAACTGCAAGATCTTTCTTCAGTAGAGGAAAAGGACAGGTGGTATTTGATGATCTTACTTAATTATTTTAAAAATACAACTTCAGTTACTACTCCTTGTGATAAAGTTTTTTTGTTTAAAGGTCAAGAGAAAAACCCAGATGCCTCTAATCAGAGCAGCTCAACCTCATGCTTGAAAGTATTTTCCTACAGACTGTCAGTGAACTCTCTTGTGCAGTGTGAATTGGGTCCTGAAAGTGCCTAAAATAATTGACACTAATTTTTAAATACAATGCTAATACATCAGAAACAAAAGTTTTATCACTTGCCACTTTCTGTATGGTGACTGAAATTGTATTGTTGAAACCAAATGTTACCTTCCACTCATGTTAAATCTACCACTGTGAGTACATCTCTGTGGTTTAGCTGTGTCATGTGAACTTACCTTCCTGAGTGCTAATGCCTCAGCTGTGAGCTGCTGTACTGGGAATTACCATCTTAATGGCTGTGCCTTGAGATGCTGTGTCACTCTGGTCTAGTAGCTAAATGTGGATCCATAACCAGAGATCCAGAAACCAGACTGGGATGTGCGGAGCTGTGCAGTTCACAAGAGGAGGCAGAAATCTGTGCCAGAGAGCTGTGCTCGGAGATGAGATGCAGCAGTTCAGTGAAAATAGACTGGAATTCTGAAATGCCACATGGCTTACTGCATGCCCTGATGAGTTTGTCTCTCCATGGCTTTGAGTGTTTTGAAAAAGAATGACAGCAGTCCTGTAGATGTTTACAGGAGCCCCTCACAAGCAGGAGGGGTGGCATGGATGTGAGTGCGGAGGTGTGCTGGGTGGAACCTGGACAATCAAAGTGGATTTTCATGTCAAGAGTTATGCTTTCTTAGAGGTAGCGAAGATACTTTTGGAGACACGACTTACAAGGCACCCCTAACAGTGTAGCAACACGTGGCTGATCTGTAGCCTGTGTCCTTGTTCAAAATTTGGTTTACAGCCCAAGATGGGTACTATTAAATCTGCATGCAAAACATGAGTAGGTTAGAATCCATACCTCAGTGAGGCTGGTGTGAGCTCTACATGGGGGCACACACTTAAATACTACAAATGTTTGCACATAGCACTGACACTGCATATAAAAGCAGCCTCCATGCAAAAGATCTCAGCTACTGAATGGGGACACTGATGGGGCTGAGAGACTAAGCTCAGGTAATTAAACTAATTCTGTTTTCTGTTGAACGTGTAGGTCAAGCAGCACTTACATCTTTACATATGTCATTTATTTCATGGGGCTTCACTGACATGAAACCATTCACATCAAGTTTGTTAAAATAGAATCAAGATCGCTTGATTTGGATTTTACATGCTGCTGCCATGTGCTGATGAAGGATTGATTAACTGTTTGGAGTTAATCTCTGTTAACAGTTAATAAACTGTTGGGAGAAGGATTACGTGTTGCGATGAGGTTTAATGTTTTCATAGCCTTTTTAACTCTTCTACAATTAAAGATTTACCTTTTTCTTCTTCTTTTCTAAGTACTGTCCGAAAACGACTGCGGGATGATAGAAAAGCTAACACAGCACAGAAGCTGCAGCAGATGAAGCAGAAGCTAAATGAGACTGAAAGAAAAAGAAAAAGGTGGTTATATTGGCAACCTATTCTCACTAAGATTGGGTTTGGTACACTGATTTTAGTTGGCTCTTATTGGTGCTGGAAAATGTATTTTCAAGAACATTCCTTGTAAGTAAAGAGTAAGCTCGTCTGCTCCAGCAGCTAATCCTGCTGCAGGGTGCTGACTAGGGGTATGACTTTAAGCAGTGAACTCCTTACACCTGGCATGGGTGCAGACACTTTACAATAGAGGAGTGATGTAAACTTGGTAATGTGTCAACATCTCAGGACTTCCCACTGCAGGTACTTAGAACTGCGGCCCCCAACACAGTTGATGGTTTTTGTTTATATGAGCAGGTACAAACTTGCTGCAACTGTTTATACTTTTTAAAATGGTGTTCTATCAGATCTTAAGCAACCCGTAAAACACAGGGGTTTAGCCACTGAAGGCTGGCTGGATTTAAATTTATACACCAGACATAAGCAATAAACAGTGTTGTATCATTTACATTATTAATGCAAAGAAGTTATCCTAAATGTGTGTAATGTGTAATGTACTAGTGACATGAACATAAACATTTTATATTCTTATGAACTAGGATAAATATATTTTATAATTGCATATTTAATCTTTTTGTAGTTCACTGTACTTTTGAAAGCTCAGTTTGTACAAATTTCTGAACAAAAAGAATTTGATTTTGAAACTAAATGTAATTATAATTTGTGCATGGAAATAATAGTGCAACCATTCTCCATATTTTGACTCTCCAGTTTATGATCTGAGCAGCTAGGGGTCTGATAAAGCACTTGCCAGTTTCTACTCTGTTAATCTGCATTCCTTATTTATTTTTTTGTAGTTTTCATTATTTAAGTGAGACTTAGGAATCTGATTTTCTTTTTTTAAGGTTTTTGAGAACTTAGCCCCAACTGAAGAGCGTACTGTTAAGTTGATTAATATATTCAGACTTCAACTGCTGTTTGAAGGCCAACATTGTTAAAGTTCTGACATTCCATTAAATGTGAAACGTAATGTTTTGTGTGTCTATAGATTCTAATTGCTAGAAAGACTAAAATGCATTCATCAGTATTAAGTGTAGAAAGCATATCAAAGGCAACTGTAGTTGGACTTGCAGAGGTGGTTTTCACAGCGTCCCCAGTACAGTGCATTCAGCTATACAAGCCCCTTCTGTAACTTCACGGAGTCTAGAACTGCTTTTGAGGTTCCCCAGTACTGCAGTAGGGGCATGATGTTGAAACACTCGATGACTGATGTTTTGGGACAGCTGTGGTGCAGTCCTTTTAAAATTACTGAGCACTCCCTTTCTGTTAGTTGGTCAATAGCACTTTCTGAATAGTAATTCAACAGAAATCACTTTCTATCCTTTAAATTCTCTTTGAATACAGAGATGGGATGTGGCTGTCGCTCAGGCTGTTGTTCAGGTTGGGACATGATAGTTTCTAGCAGTGGACTGCAGTTTGAAACCTGGGGTTTATGTATTCAAGCATTGCCTCTTTGGGCACCTGCAGAGATGTTGCATCTTCTCCCTCCATTTTCCTTGCTCCGTTGTCTTCTGTTGTGTACGTGGGCTTGGGGGTTGCCTCCCCTGTTTCTTTTTTCTTTTTAATTTCTCCTTTTGTAAAGCACTTCTTGGATTTACTGCTGAAAAATACTCCAAGAGCTGGATGATTACTTCTGCCCCTTATCCAAAGGAATTAACTTGAAAGCTTTCCAGTATGTTCAAGCTCAGTAGTAACATACCAGGCGCAGGGCCCAAGTAGTCTGATGTTCAGTACGCAAAGCTGAGTTTACTCTTTAAAATTCTCATTTCACAATAGTTGATACGGGTTTTGGACTACACTGTTATAGTAAACAACTGCTTAAGGGTCCAGCTAAAAAAAAGCAAGTGCAGTTTCACAGAGTTCTGAGTTTGGGAAACTGTGCATCAGTAGGACAAGGTGGTTTGTCCTGTGGCATTACCAGCTATGCAGCTCTAAAAGCAAAACAGCTTGCTGCCTGCAAATCTGAAAATGTGCAATTTTAAGACACTTCCTACCTTCTACAACTGCAGCAACTCTTTAGCCAGCAAGAGGCTTGGCAAAGGTTTATTTATTTAAATTGAGAAGACAGGCTTTTCGCTATCAGCTGTAACTGACAGTAGGTGTAAATGTGTGTGCCTTATAAAAGATATCTTGGTTATAGAAAACCATGTGGGATGTTATTAAATGCTTTTGTAACAGAAATATCCCAGATGTTACTGTAAAAACTTCTGACTATCTAAGGAAAAAGCACAGGCAAAACCTTGACTGAAATCCCCCTGTCATTTATGGCCTTTATTTGCATGAGAAGGATTTCCTGAGCCATCAGTATCTTACAGACCCCAAACTCCAGCCGTGGCTGATTCCATCTCCTGAATTATGGATTTTGTGTTTTCCCGCTCCGGAGCAGGGGCTCCTCCTCTCTAGGTGGTGCAGGGCGGGAGCGGCCATCTTGTCTCACCTCGAGCTCTCTGACCCTCATACAGCAGGACTTGCATGTTCAGCCGTTCGATCTGGTTCTGTGGCTGTAGGTATCTGAGAGTCTGCACTGTTACTGATTTAGGACCATGAACCAATCCAAATCTTGGACAAAAAAGTATTTTGTACAGTGAATTGTTCATGATAGTATGAGCATAGGACAACATTTAGATCTCTTAGTGCATTCCAGGAGATAACCTGGATAAAATGTTTGGTTTTTTTTTTTTTTCTGGTCTGTCAGTAATCCTTAAAAACCAGAATCTGAGGGAGGCTTGGTCTCTTTCCTGCAGACTGAATCCTTGTGCTACCTTGTTATTCTATAGAATCTAGAATTCTCTAGAATTTAGAATGTTGTTCTATAGAATTCAGTAGTTTTGCACAACTTGGACCCTAAATAGGAGCCGATACAGGCCAAAATGGAGAACTATCAATCCCAGTGACCTCTGTTGTAGAGCTTGCTTAAAGGAAGAGTAAAAGGACGTGCCTGCCTCCCCCCAGCCCCTGTTTCTGGAAAGCTGCTGGCTGGTCCTGTGCTACTTCTAAGAAGCTGTTGCACTCAATTCAGTGTTCTTATGTTGGGTTTTTCCCTCTGTTCTGGGAATAAATCGGTCAAAAGAGTTGCTGCCTGGTGGGCTGCTCTGAACTCTGTTAAACTTGGGTACAAATAATGCACGTTTTAATTAAAAAAAAAAAAAAAAACAACAAAAAACAACCCCCCAAACTGGCAAACATTTAGACCTCTGTTGCAAGGGGGTTGCAAGTTTGGAATGAGTCCTTCAGGTTTTCTGTTCTTGGTGCAGGGGCAGTCCACTTGGAGTGACGGTACAGCTGTGTTTATTCTTGAAATGTGTGAAGTAAAAGAATTGAACTTGGCATGAAATAGAAATTTAACATCAATACAGATTTATTTTACAGAACTAAGGTGTTGCACGCAAAACTTTGCTTCTTCTGTTAAACCTCAGTGAAATGGTTTATTGATGCCAGTTTCTATCCCTCTGAAAAGGGAAAAGGCATAAATGCTTGTGTGTGTGTGTGACTGGATTCTGTGGGTGGTGAAAAAGCCTGTCTAGCTTGAAGTTTAACTGAATGTTAACCAAATTATTTAGTTTGCTCTTTGGCATTATAGTTAAACCTGAGACACTTGAGGACTGTACAAGAAACTAGGTTAACAATGAGAAAAGAAAAAGTCTTCTGCCTGGCCAAGCGGCTAAAGTCAGAGGATGGAATTTGCAAAGTTGACGTAACGCACAGTAGTCTTTCTCAGCTTTTCTGTTTTCCAAAAACCTTTTAGGTCAGTCTTTCATTTTTATGTACGAAAAATAAATGTGTTCAAAATCACATCTCTGTCTGAGTCTTTATTTAAATTGAAGGGATAAATACTTGGAAGAATTTATTTACTGAGTCTGAACTGATCAAGGAGAACTGCTTTATGAATCAGTGCAGTGCTTGCAGAACTTAGAAGTGTTTTACTTGTAGCAGCTTGGATGTCTGGTGCTGTAAGCACCAAGGTCTTTTTCTGTGTTCCTCCGAATAGAGCCTTACCTTCTTGTAGCACAGCCCACCCAGTGTTAGAATGTCTGCCTCCCTGTGAGAACCCTTTGCCTAGAAACACTTTTTTCCGTGCTGCTGTGCTGGGACTGGCCCACAGAGCCATGAAAGGCAACATCGGTGTTGTTGAGGTGCAGCCTCCCTGCCCTCACTAAGGCCTGAGGGGACTGCTATGGTGCTTGTGGTTGAACACGAGGAAGGGGTTTGCTGGGCTGAGACCCATACTTCAAGCTCTCCAGCCAGTAAGTGCCTTATGCTGGAAACTGTCCTGGCGAGAGCACTTGCTACAGCAGACCATAGTCAGTAGTTGCTCCAGATGTGCGAGAAGCTGTTTGGTGTTTGTAGCGAGTTGCAAAGCCGCTCTCTGTGCTTATTTATTTTTTTTTTTTTACCCCCAAACTGTGTACTGAATCGGTGACTTTCTTTTGCGTTGTGTCGCAGGCCGAGACTGACTGACACCTAAGCCTTCAAGACTTGTGAATATTCTGCAGCTATAAACTGCAAATTATTGACATGCAAAGCGAGACATGACCCCTCTTCGGGAACAAAAAGTGAGGTCTGTTAAGTACCAAGAAGACCTCAGTTATCTGTTTACAGCGTAAACGGCAGCGAGGGGATGAAGACCACCAGCAGCCTGCTACTTTGCAAAACAAAATAATTTGCCATCTTGTGTTTTTACGATGCCTGTATTAATGTAGAAATGATGTAAAAGAAATAAATTAGGAAATATTTTGGTTTGTACTGCCATTCTTACTGTATTTTTATACTTTGTGGCAGCATTAAATATTTTTTTAAAAGGACAATATGCTGTTGTGTGCACATTATGTTAGGGAGAAACTGTTAAGAACCTGTTGTGCAAAAAAAAGGTATGTCTCCCCTTAAGGTTTCCTGCTATCCTGTCTTAACTGGAAATGGCAATATGATTAGAATGTGCTTTATGCAAATATTTCCTTAATGTTAAGTATTGTATTTTGAGCTAGGAAGAACTGTAGCACATTTCTGTTGTAATACAACACTAGGAATATTATTTTATTAATCCGGTTGTTTTGGTAATCCTTCTTACGCTTACTAGATAAAAATTGCACAGAATGTTCAGAGTAACCATGTGAAGGGGAAGTGTTTTGTTGGTGATGCTTTAAGGGAGGAAAGAGGGGAAAGCTGACCTCTCCCTACCTGGGTCATAGTTAATTAATGGGAGCCAAAGGCCAGATGCAAAGCGCATGAAGTCAGCGGTGGTTTTATTAAATGTGCCGTCACAGTGTGTTGTATGTATGATACTTCACGTTTCCCATCTCCCCTTGGCGTTCTCCCCAGCACAGTCTCAACAGTGGCATTGGCAAGGGGTAAGCGGGGAGTGCTGCTGATGGGAGTTCCTCTGATAGACTCAACAGGGTTTCCACCCCTGTGCCTTCTGTAGCAGAGCTGGTGGAAATTCTGCATTTGCTG